ACTTAAAGGGTTGACGCTTGTTCAATCCACTCAAAAGGGTTTATAAAGCATGATCTCTAAATCACAAACCTTTTCAACTATACCCAAAATAAATAAATAATTTGTACATCATAATTTAACATGACAGACATGCCCCTAATCAACAGCACATTTAACCAGTGTTGATTAAAACTTTTCATGCAAAACCACCTGTCATTATTACGGTCAACTGATGATCGAAACTGGACTGCCTGCCGCCGACCAACATCATTCCGATGAGAAACTCAATCCATCAGTAGCCATGGATAATTCTGTTTCAGTCGAACTATCAGTTTTTTTTCTTCAGGCATGTCTTCAATCACATTTTCTTCTGATGCTGTTATACACTCCTGGAATCTGAAACAACTTGTGAGATGGTCGTTCGTTATTCCCGCTGCTTGCATGAAAGCGTAGATGACGGTCGGGCCTACACTCCGGAAACCTCTTCTCACCAGATCTTTGCGTAGGACATCTGCTTTCGGGGTTTTAACCGGAACCTGGCGAGGATATTTGAAACTGCTAACAATAGACTTGTGGTTCACAAAACTCCAGATATACCGGTCAAATGACCCGAACTCACCAATAACCTGGCATCATCAAAACCTACAAAAGGTTAGTTGCAATAATGAACAGTCACTAAGTGGAGTGCAATTATAATACTTACTTCCAGTAAGAAGAGCCAGTGGTGGACAATGGAAAGCAATTAAAATATATGAATGACTTGGGACTTACCAACTAAGCAAGTTGGCATCTAATGGATGGGAATGATTAAGTTTCCTAACCAAATAAAATTAATTTATATGATCAAACTGCAAATTCGCAGCCTTGTGGTTTGTCCCATATGATTAAAACATATGACTGGAAGGTTTAGAACCACTATTCAGCTGTTTTTTTACCTAACCTAATCACTCGAATATTCATAATATTTCAAAAGTTCGAACCAATGTCTTTGTCAAATGTTTAGGACCACTATTAAGCTGTTTTTCAACAATACGATTCAAACACATCATCAGACATTTGTTTAATTATTTGGTAGAATAAGAGAGAACAATGTGTGGTCCTAGAAGATGGCCAGAAGTTTTCTATATCTTGCAAGATAAACATCAACTGCAATAGAGCATATTTTTGTCATATTCCATCCAACGTACAGCACCGTAATTAGTTTATTCTGCTTACAAGTGATTCACGGAGCACTACCTTTCGTGTCAACCAAGGTAAAACAATGGTGAACAGAAGAGTAAGATAATCTACCTTAGATATTTGACGTGCATTCAAGATAATAGCTCGCAGCTTCAATTCTGATAACAAAGAACTTGCTTCGCTACCATGTGTTATTAACTTCTTCTCGTTCAATTTCGATACAGCAAGAGGGTCAAAATCCATAAAAACTTCTCTGAATAAAAAAGACGCACTTTAGAAATGAGTCTGCTTATTCAATGAGGTAAATGGAAATCAAGGGACCAATACCTAAATGTGTGCCTTTTGCTTAGGATAGCAGACCATGTAAGTTCAGACAATGCACCCGAAAGTACAAGCAGCCGAAACAATTTCCTGCATGTGGACAGTAAAATCAAGCAAACTACTTATCAAACACAAATTTATTATTAGAGGCAGCCCTTTTAAGAAGCAACCGGATGGGAGACTTGACAACGCTGCGATCACGTACTTGTCATCATGTACAGGAACTCCCCACTCTTCGTCATGGAAAGCAGCATGAATTCGATCTGATGCCAACAAACAAAAATAAGTTGGCAGAAAACATGTGGTAACCTAATACTTAGACCAAGGTTATGCAGCTATTACCACAATTGAAAGCAGTCTTAGGTGGAAGATGTTAACACAATTTCCAATCAACCATGAAAAAACACAGAAATTAGAGGACGCAACAACAGACCTGTATTTGGTGTCACCCATGCACATCTCTTCTTCTGATGCAAACCATCAGATGGAAAATACAAACCACCATCAGAAACAACACTTCTCGGCTTTGGCGTGTATGGCTCTCTTACCTCCTACACAATTTGAATGAATTGACTTACCAGTTGATGCTTGACTGTGAAATGAATCAGTGGAAGCGTCCAATGAACATGAAGCATTCACGTTAGAATGTAATAGCTGTTCATGGCAGCGTAGCACTGAAGGAGCACTAACAGAATGAGTTTTTGGAGAAAGAGAATTAACAGTAGATGATGGAAGGGCTTTTTCCTCCTCTACTACAGTCGACTCAACCGGAGATTTCTCAACCTTTTTCACAGGCTTTGAAACTGGTTTTCTGGCGCTTAATGCACCCGCCTTGTTCCCGGCAGGTCCCAATACAGTCCTTGCCTCAGAATCGGACACATTCATTGACCTCAATCTTGGAGCACCATACATAGATTAAGAATAATAGACAACAAACACGCAAATTGATTGCAGGCTGAAAAACTAAATTTGTTATAGCTGAACCAACTCGTTTAGTCAGCTGCTTATATTCTGATAAAAAAAAATCTATCAATTCAAAACTAATTATCAAGGGATCTCATATTTCTTTTAACCTCAAACCAATCCTAGTTCCCAGTTTATCAGCCCTTATAGCATACTCGCAACATTGCCCATCCATCCCTGTAAATGATCAAAACTCACTGATAAAATCCAGTAAAACAATCACATTCCTCGTACAGAAAAAGGTTAAACAACTTCAGAAATCTTCAACGCCTACAATTGCGTATAGATTTTAAGCTTATAGTACAGACATTCATCCCTTGAAAGCTCCCAGAATTATTTCTCAGCTTTTCACACAGAAGGCATCCTTAAATATACAATTCTAGCAATCTAAGCTTCACTTAAATCCACACAAAAAACCCACAGGGCTAACTCTAATTACCATCCGAAGCGTACCTTGCAAAAATCCTCAAAACTCAAAAGTTAAACCAAGTCTTTAACAATCAACATTAAAACAGCAATACCCAAACCAAAGTTGAACAAAAGTTTAAGAACTATAAGGTAAAGGCTCAAACTTTAAGCGTCAGAAAAAAGAAAGGAAAAAACTGGGATCACGTCGTATTTTCATTTAAAGCATTCAGAATTAGTTTCGAAGAAAACATAGATTCTATTCTGAATTGTGGAAAACGAGAGAGAAAAGGGTTTCTGTTACCTCTAAAGTCAAAAGGAGAGTTCTTTTAAACTGTGTCGTTTCCACTTTCCAGAATCTAGACATTATCTCAAGGAAACAGAAAAGCCAACACAATTGCAGGCAACTCCATACTTCCTCTTTTATTTTCCTCGAAATAATGAAGGAAAGAAGCGACGAAATTTGATTGGAAAAATTATAAACTCAATCTTTGAGTATTGGATTCCTCTCCCTGAACTAGTATATTTATAGTGTCGACAGAGAAGTAAGGAACCAATGGGTGGAAGAGAAAGAAAAGAGAATATTGGCCTTTTGCTTGTATTTTATTGGAGAGTGACCGGTTATATATATAGTTTAATGAAGGTTGGTATAACAGATAAACATCGGATAGGAGGATCAACGTATTTTTAAACGTTTGCTGTTGTATATCTTTTATAAAGAAAGATGGCAATGCAAACTGTAATTGAAATTGACTTTGGTTTGATTTGATATTATTTGATTCTACCTTACTTTACTTTCCTAGTATAGCTTTCATCCCATGACAATAATCAAAGTAACCCAGTTTTTCTTCTTCTTTTGATCCAATCGAGCATACACATTTTTCTATTGATCCTAGACGTGGCTCAGGCAGGGAATTCTTAATCTCTCCCTTAATTGAGTTTTGTTATGTCATCGACTCGTCACTATTCTGCCGGTCTGGTGCTAGATGTTAAGTTCATAGGTTTTGGTTTTCAGCAAAGGAATCAATTAAAACGTTGCCTGTTTCAGCCATTGAAAAGAAGAAAGAATCTTGCTGTCACCAGTTATCGTATTATTTTAACGCTTGAAGGTCAAGGGATGTCTTCTGATCAGTCCAGTTTGCTTCAAATCACAATTAATATTAGGTGAGTATTCCTCTCTTTATCTAATTAGTTCAACTTTTTTAGTTGGGTTTAATATTTCCTTATAATCATGGTGTGGGGTTCAAAAATAAGAAGAGGCAACCCTCTTACCCTTTGAACTTTTCCATCCCTAGGATTCTTCACTACTATCTTTTCTAATGCCATATTTATATTTTGCTTACTCTTCTCTACTATATATATATATATAGTAGATGTGAAAGTGCGAGTTCATCAACTCAGAAACATGGGGTAAGGAAGGAATCAAGTTTTCTTACCCAACACTTCTCATATTCATTTGTCAAATACACTTTACATTGTACAACAGAGGAAAGGGAATTAAAGTCGTAAACGGGAGATTTAGTTTTAAAACTTGAAAGCAAAAGCAAGGCAAACCCCTTTCTTGAAAGTAATCAACTCGGAAAACAGCGGTGAAAAAAAGATTGGTTTCATTCTTCAAACTAGAGATCATAGATTCAGCCCTTCGTCTCAACTCATATTGGAGAGGGAAAAATATCAATTCTTAAAAGACTAATTTGATAGCATGGTATGGGGTGTGAAGAGGGCAAAGTATCTCAAATCCCTACCTTTCTATTGTAAAATCTTTTCAGTTTTTATTGAAACCAAAGCCAAACTTGCTCTGCAAACAAACCCAACCTCCCCACAATCTTTCGAGTTCTATGCCCGGCTATCAAAATAATGCCTACAAATTAACAGTGTACTTAAAACCTTTCAAGATATAACCTATACCACTGGTAGCTCGCATGTTTAAGTATATGATCTCCAAGTATAATTCAAACTGTTCAAGGAGAATGACAATCTCAATTTCAAGTTGACAAACTATCTTTGATGGGGACTATGTTTGACATGTTCCTTCTAATAAACTCACCAGCTAATATTAGTGGCTTCCTAGTTCCTATCTAAAAGCTCAATTAATCATTTAACATTGAAATATCAGCCACGACTCTGGAACCCACAACTCTGGAACTTCCACGAGAAATTTATTTTATTCATCTTTACATAGTTTTGACTCATTACAAGCTAAGTGACACAATAATAGCGGCAATGACTTCCCTTACCTCACAAATTAGAGAGAGTATTTAAAGGATCTTAACTATCTCAAAAGATAAAATAAAAGAAACAAGAACATCTCAACAATGCAACAAAAACATTGGATTTATTCAAAAAAAAAAACATTTGGATCCTCAAGAATCTATATATACACCATAAAAAGTCATTCTAATATGCCCATCTGAGTATTGTCTTAAAACAGATAAAATAAAGGCAACCAAATTGCTGTATTCTGCTCCATTGATATGAAAATCACATGATACGAAAATGGCATCTGCAATATAGCTCAAAACCTCCACAAATTAGTAAAATATTGAAAAACGAATAAGCAGGTAGCTCTAAGAAGTTTATCTTTGCAGTTCATGAACATGTTAAGAAAAAACTTGCAATATTCACTACAACAATAATCTACAAATCACCTCGTCTCTCCTAACTGATTGAATTAGAACATATTTATTATTATTGTTAATGACCAACCACCCTTTTCTTAGAATTGAGTAGTTGATTTTTGTTTGTTATTTTTTATTTCCACAATCATAAGTTGTTTCCTCAGAGCAACAATCTAAACTTAAGGTATTGATAAACTGATATGATCTGTAATTTAATGCTATTACCGAGAAGCAGATAAAGCAGAAATGACATACCCTAGCAAGCCCCTGCCTTGCCATGTTCTAGGAGTCACTGATAGATTAAACAATGCTCCTTGTCTCATGATTGTGACAGGTATGGGATGACACTGATTAACCTGAGCTTCAGAAGCTAGTCGTTGTAGCAAATTATCACCAGCTTTCACATTACCAAATTTAACAATCTGGTCTCCTAGTTGTAAACCATCCTCAGCTGCCGGAGATGCATCAGCTATTTCATCAACCATTGCAAAGGGCATACTAGAAATCATATACACGTCATTGGCACCCTGAGAATCTCTAGAAGAAAGGTTTTGCAAGGACACTGATGTACCAACATCGACAGCTGGTGCATTTTGATTCATTTCAAAACCTATCGGAACAGTAATTTGGAATGATTTAAACTTCCATTGGAAAACATGAGATAATTTAAAGATTATAGCACAAAATCATTTCTCTAAACAAATGGAGCAAGAAAATGAGCTACTAACCTGATTCTTTAGGGGTTGAAGTGCGTTTTACAGAATGCAAAACTTGAATATTAACGTGTATTTTTTCTGTAATTTCCTGGTGATCGTTTTTCAATTCTGCTCAAATTAAACAATAAAATTTGATGACTTTGTTAATACTTAATACGAAACATCCTCAAATGCACTAACTAATAAATGAAAATACTAAAAGATAGAATACCAACAAGACGATGCCGTTGTGCTCGGACAAATGGGATGTCAATATCAGCACGAGGAAACCCCTGGAAAAAAAACTCTAATATCAGGAAATAGAAAAGATTGTAAATTTGAATCGAAATTAAAGTAAATAAAAACGAATGGGTATTCACAGAAAAAGGAAAATACTTCGGAATCGACGAGGTTGCCAGAAAGACCAGGACCCCCAGGTTGACAAAGCTGCTCAATTATGGCGTTCATCTCAGCCTCTATTCCACTTCTCTTTTCAATAAGCTTCATTGTCTCCGATTTAAGATTTGCCCCAACCATTGTTCTTTTCTTTTTCTACTTTTTTTTATATTTTGATACGAGGTTTTATAAGGCTTTAGGTTTAGCTTGGCGGACAAGACAGTCAAGCCTGTGTGGGTTTTCTTTTTCAGGAAAATCGGCTAGTCGCTGAGGAGATGTGCGAGAGGAAGGCGCTTGATTGGGGCGATGTGGGCTGAGACTAACTTGATTGGGCTTAGAAAAAACCTATTACGAGGAGTGTTTTGAAATAATTAAAACAATTGCCAACGTTATCCAAAGTAACAAAACAGTCTTTAGACCGCTAAATGTGTAATTCTTACCACAGAAAGTCAATGTTTGATTAGATTAACTAATATCATAATCGAGCATTTTATTAACCTTGTTTAAATTATGGAGAAATCATCACCGGCACACAACTATTCTTAGTCTTTTCATTTTCACCCTCTTTCTCCGTTAATGCAATTGGAGGAGAATTAGTTATCTCGGCGTTTTAGGAATTTCTGCTACGTGGCGCCTCAAAAACGACGTCATCTGTTAAACAAGTGACCGGTTAAAATTTAGACCGATTATGTTATATCATTTAATCGGAAATATTATCAAGTACAATAATATATTAGGTAGCGCTTATATAATATAATAGATAACGCTTATATTGACATATTTTCTAACTAAACAGGTATATTTAAACCAGTAACATTATAAATTTACTTATTACATTATAATTATCGATTTTGATGTTTTTGAGATTGACACAATTTTAAATGTATCGACACTTTATGCGTGCACCTCGTTGTGCTTTCATTTTGGAAAAAAAGTATCGACACATATTTAAATAGCGTCGATACATAATGTAAACCTATTTGCTAATTAACCAGTATATTTTTACCGGTTACATTGTAAATTTACATGTTTCTAGGTTTTTGTTCTTTGAAAAACTAATAACATGGTGTGTTTCCCAATGTTATTCTTTTGTTACTGCAAAGTTTTTGTTCTTTTCTTACTGAGTTTTGCTTAAAATATCCAATTTTTTGTATTAAAAAATAAAAATTCTGAAATAAAAATGATCACACAAGCACACTTTTTTACTACCGGTTTTGTCATTTCGAGATTGATTTTGTCATATTTTTACCTGTTATATTGTTATGGATCGATACATTTTTATAAAGTATCGACACTTTATTAGCGCTATAACTTCTTTTCTTTTAAATTCCAAAAGTGTCGATACTATAATAAAGTATCGACACTTTCAACATATCCGGTAGCTCTTTACCGATTTTTCATTTCGAGACCGATTTTGTCATATTTTTAACTTTTATATTGTTATGGATCGATACATTTTTATAAAGTATTGACACTTTATTAGTGCTATAACTGCTTCTCTTTTAAATTCCAAAAGTGTCGATACTTATAATAAAGTATCGATACTTATAATAAAGTATCGATACTTATAATAAAGTATCGATACTATCAACATATCCGGTAGTGCTTTACATGTTTTGTTATTTATAGATCGGTTTTATCATTTTTTTACCTGTTATATTGTTATGGATCGATACATTTTTATAAAGTATCGACACTTTCAATATATCTAGTAGCGCTTTATCTGTTTTGTTATTTATAGATCGATTTTGTCATTTTTTTACTTGTTATATTGTTATGGATCGATATATTTTTATAAAGTATCGACACTTTCAATATATCATGTAGCGCTTTACCTGTTTTGTCATTTATAGACCGGTTTTGTCATTTTTTTACCTGTTATATTGTTATGGATCGATATATTTTTATAAAGTATCGACACTTTCAATATATCCGGTAGCGCTTTACATGTTTTGTCATTTATAGACCGATTTTATCATTTTTTTACCTGTTATATTATTATGGATCAATATATTTTTATAAAGTATCGACACAAACCGACAAACTAAGTTTGTCGGTTGCCAAATTTTTTAATATTTCTTCATGATTTCCACATATTACATTATTATTACTTAATATTTCTGATAGCACTAAATCAAATTTATCAATATCTTTTAATGTATCTGATAACGCCGTATATTAACCGTATATTAATTCGACTTTCCTGAGACAATCCCGGCGTTTTGGTTATACCTTCTCCAACAATCATTTAACAATCAGATTCCTGTTATTATCACTTACGTGTTGACGAGGGTTAGTTTTCCTATAATTATTAATATTTAATTTATTGATTATATTATTTAAATAGATATTATAAAAAATTATTTGATAAAATTATAATAAAATTTAATCATAGTATTTTATCCATCAAGTTGTCTAAATGATAAAAAAATTAGTGTGTGAATTAATTTTTTTTAAATAAATATTAATTTATAATCATTTTACTAAAAAAAATAGTTCAATTCAAGCGAATTGATTTTCCTATTTTCTAATTTTTCATTTTAATACCTAATGTACTAATTTTCACACACACATATATATTTATCAAAACCTAATTGCGATCTTAAAATCCTTTTACTTTTTTGTTACTCCCCATTCCCCAGGTCACGATCTACATCTGGGATTAGGGTTTCTTTTCCAGTCGCTCATTTGACCTCGAAGAGACAAGTTCATGGCACAAACTGTGGCTCATGCCACTCTTGGCCTTACTCAGCCAGCTAACATCGAACACCCCAAGGTGATTATTTTCTTTTTCTTTGCTGGGTTTAAGTAAAATTGTGTTTTGATTGCCTCATTGGGTCTAGATCGAAATCTTAATAGGGGCCTTTATCTTTCTTAGAAAGAGTGAGCTTTATTGTTGCTTGTTTGGAGTTTTTTTTTATGGTTAAATGGCCTTTGACCGCGGATTGATTCTCTAAATGGCTTCTAAAAGTTGATGTTTTTATGTTCATGGCATCGGATTACGAGTATAGGCTCATTTCTGAAATAAATGGAGTAAGGATTAACTAAGAATTTTGTCAGCTTTTAATATGTATGTTATAAGATCATCTTTGTTAAATCCCTGGATTCACTTTTGCTCTTAAAATGTAAACGTTGGTTCGTTGTGTGTGTTTATTTTGGTGAAATACCAGGCAATGATACTAAAATGTATGTTCTCTAAATGGCTTCTAAAAGTTGATGTTTTTATGTTCATGGCATCGGATGACAAGGATAAGCTCATTTCTGAAATAAATGGAGTAAGGATTAGCTAAGCATATTGTCAGCTTTTAATATGTATGTTACCAGATCATCTTTGTTATATCCCTGGATTCGCTTTTGCACTTAAAATGTTATAGTCGGTTCATTTGTGTGTGTTTATTTTGTGAAATACCCGGCAATGATACTAAAATGTCTGTTGTCTTTATTTGGATAATGCTGGAAAGATCACTTTGGCTGCAAAAGAGATCGACCCGGTAGAATGGAAAGGGGACATCCTTGCAGTTGGGGTCACTGAGAAAGACATGACCAAGGATGAAAACTCCAAATTTCAGAACTCAGTTTTGAAAAAATTAGATGGCCTGTTGGGTGGTCTGTTAGCTGATGTCCTCTCTGAGGAGGATTTCACAGGAAAAGCTGGCCAGTCAACGGTTCTTAGACTTCCTGGCCTTTGCTCCAAAAGGATTGGTTTGATTGGTTTGATTGGTCTTGGACATTCAGCTTCATCTCCAGCTGCTTTTAGAGGGCGTGGTGAGGCTGTTGCTGCAGCCGCAAAGGCTGCTCAAGCCAATAGTGTAGCTGTCGTCCTTGCCTCTGCAGAAGGCCTATCAAATGAGTCAAAGCTCAGTACTGCTTCCTCAATAGCATCTGGTAATGCTCATATGATTTCTTATTTCCATGTCCAATGCAATTATTTCAAAGGTTGAAGCAGATCGAGTTGATCTAAGTGGCATGGTCTGCATTCTCATAGGTACGGTGCTCGGAATACATGAAGATAATAGATACATGTCAGAGTTGAAGAAACCACAGCTTAAATCTGTGGATATTTTTGGTCTTGGAACTGGACCAGAGTTGGAGAAGAAGCTAAAGTATGCTGAAGATGTTTCTTCTGCCATAATATTTGGAAGAGAGCTTGCGAATTCACCTGCCAATGTACTTACCCCTGGTTCGTACGGGCATTATTATTTATTTTTGTTTAAAAAATCCTTCCTTTTTACAGTTTAATATAAGGATGATTTAATTTTGTTTTTGTTTTTTTTAATTTTATGTCCAAGGGCACAGCTGGAAAGCTGAGTTTCCTACATGCCAGTGTTGGGGTTATACTTGGTCTAACGTGTCTTTTTTTTTTTTTGCTGCAGCTGCACTAGTAGCAGAGGCTTCAAAAATTGCTTCCTTGTACAACGATGTTCTATCTGCAAACATCTTGACTGCAGATCAATGCAAGGAGTTGAAGATGGGATCTTACCTGGGAGTTGCTGCAGCATCTGCTAATCCCCCTTATTTCATCCATTTGTGCTACAAACCTTCAAGCAGACCAATTAAAGCTAAGTTAGCATTAGTTGGAAAAGGATTGACTTTGACAGGTAATTTCATATATACTTACACATGCTCTAGCAGGAAGATATTTATGGTCCAGTTACCTTAAGAAATATAACAAGGAGAGAATAAGATGCCTTCAATATATATGTATATATACGTATTTAAAGTTTGTGGTGCATGCCATAAATAAAGAGATGGTTTCTTCACTAAGTGTGACCAATAAACGTGAAATTTATTTATTTTTCCCCTTTTCCACTTCTTGATATGAGCAGTATAATACATGAATGATTTGATCAAAACTTTTTCCTAGTGAGATCTATTTAAAATGAGTTATTAGGACTTGGGAATTGGGATATATGTAGCTTGTTCTTTTCTTTTTCCCATTGGTTTATTTATAGGTTTTGAATGGTTGTCTTAAATGTTCTCAGTGGTGGCTACAATATCAAGACTGGACCTGGTTGCTTGATTGAGATGATGAAAACTGACATGGGAGGTTCTGCAGCAGTTCTTGGTGCAGCAAAAGCCCTTGGCAAATCAAACCTCCTGGAGTAGAGGTTACTCATTTTGTTGCTCTCATTTGTTCCCTTCCATGTTCCTCACTTGCTGTATCCTTTTTTCATAGTTATATGTTGAAGGGCTGGGGAAAGGATGAATGTTCTTTTTTTTTTATCATGCTATTTGTCTTCTCTTTTTCATTTGCATTTTCCAATTTCTGCTCCGGATCTATATTTTCACTTAGTAAAATATCATATTTTGCAGGTTCATTTTATTGTCGCATCTTGTGAAACATGATAAGTGGGACAGGTATGAGACCTGGAGATATTATCACAGCTTCAAATGGAAAAACAATTGAGGTATACTTTGTTTGGTTTTGATAAGAAGGAAAATTGAGTTATAGGTAAATTATATGGTATACTGACATTTTAAAGTGGGTTAATTGACTTCCTTTGTTGTCTTTATTAATATTTTCAGGTTAATAACACTGATGTAGAAGGCAGGCTTACACTTGTGGATGCTTTGGTTTATGCTTGCAACCAAGGAGTCGATAAGGTAAAACCGAACACCGCAGATGCTTTGGTATATGCTTATTCTCTACAGACAATAAGAATTATGTTTTAAGAGTATGTTCAATTTCCCCCCCAGATAGTTGACCTTGCAACACTAACCGGGGCTTGTACTGTTGCTCTTGGACCATCAATTGCAGGTACATGCATTCCTGGAAAATAGTGTTTGAAAATTGGAATATATCTTTTTTTTTTAAAAAAGTTTGGAGCTTTTAACATTTTTGTTCCACTTTATAATTGTGATATTTTTATGGGTGACAATTAAGTCGGGAGAAACAAGATGACATCTGAATGTTTTATACATATTTGGCAGGGTCATAAATGATATTCTTCATTCGCCTTTGAAAATTTTAAATTTAATTAAATTATAGTAAACTAACTTTTTCCTTCTTCCCATGGAAAAAGCCCTTTCCTGATTCATAGTCAGTTAAAAGGATATTGCATACATCTTTTGATTGGTTATTTACTCTTTCGGAAGTAAAAGGTCTTGCCAAATTCATTTGAAACTTTTTCTTTTTTTCTTTTTCAGGTGTCTTCACACCAAGTGATGATCTAGCGAAGGAGGTATGTGAAGCTTCAGAGGTCAGTGGTGAGAAATTCTGGACGATGCCCCTAGAGGAAAGCAACTGGGAATCAATGAAATCAGGAGTTGCTGATATGGTAAATACTGGTAGTCGTCAAGGTGGTGCGATCACTGCAGCTCTGTTCTTGAAACAGGTATTTGAACTTTCTTTGATGTTTCAATGTCTGTCTTTTACATGCTCAAACACATACATCCAATCTCCAGCGATGGACATTTATTACAGAATTTGATTGTTGAACTATGGTTTTGCAGTTTGTTGATGAGAAAGTACAGTGGATGCATATCGAGTTGGCTGGTCCTGTCGGGAACGATAAGAAGCGTGTAGCAACAGGATTTGGCATCTCAACTTTGGTGGAATGGGCTCTCAAAAACTCTTCCAAGTGGAAATTTGGAGCTTGCTGTTGTGACATTGTGAATATGGAGGAAAAAAGACCAAACAAACCCCTTTCTAAAGGTGGTTGGGTTCTATGGGATCTGTTTCATGAAATAAAACATGTTCTGATGGAGTGGAAGTGGGAATGAGAATGGGATAGTTTCTTTCTTTGATGTTGTTACAGTAAATTACTGAACTAAACATTAAAGCTGCTTCAACTGTACCCGATAAATTTCATTTCTTTTATCACGGTTTATGGTGATTATCGTGTCAATTGTCAAGTGAGGAACTTGGATAAACATAGGTCTGATAATGCTTGCTCTATTCACCCATAATCGTTAAAAAAGGACTCTAATTTGCAAAATTTGTCCTCTCAAATTCACAATGTTTTAGGTTCTGAATGCTATTTGTCGTGTTATTGGATTGGACCGCAAAGCCTGAAAAAGCCAACAAATTTGAAAAGCCCAAAGGCAAATCTTTAACGCAACCTATCATTTTCATGCTCGGCAACATCTTTAGGCTGCGCACGTATTTCGTCAAAGCAAAACATAAAAGTTTCCTTTGTGCCAAGTCGGAGTGATACTCGGATATATCGCTGTCTTCCGTTCAGACATAGCCGAGTTTCTCGCGGCTTTTGTCTCTCTTTCTGAATCAAAACTGTCTAAAGCAACAAATCTGTCTTCTTTTTCCCCTTGTACAGCTAAAAATCCATTCTCAAAGCAAATCAACTAAACCCACAAGCAGGGAATATGCCCGACCTTTATTAGCTTCCTCTTGACTATGGATTTTGTTATTTGATCAATGATCACATAGTTGAAGACTAAAAATTCTTTCTTATTTGTTGCATTCAAACATGAGTGTCTCTTTGACTGTAATGACTTTTAATCTGCATGAAGATCAACCAGAAGACAGCCCAAATTCGTGGGAGAAGAGGAGGGATTTGTGCATAAGTGTCATCACTAGTTACTCCCCTATCATTCTTTGTACTCAACAAGGTATATCTCTCTTCAAGTTCTTCCTTCCCCCCCCCCTTCTGTGATCTATGCACTGGATCTCTGATGTCGCTACGGGTTTCTTATTTTGACTGATCTGGGTGTTTCCTAATTTGAATTTTGGAGTTGGTTTCTGCTCTTTCAAAGGCTGCTTTGAGTTGTGCTGTTGGAAATACTAGGTTGGTGAATGGAAGCTTCGTTGACTGATTGTTGTTTTTGAGGAAGTATTTTTATTTTGGAGATTGCTTCAAACTAGTTTTAGTAACTTTTTGGGTCTCGCATTCCCTTGCTCGATGTGCTTCTTCTGGGTTTATTTTGATTGAGCTTTTGTTAGTTATTACCTTCCTCTTCTTAAGCATTATTGTTGTACATAATTGCTATCGTTTCGGTGTTTGCATTCAGGCGTACAATCTCAACTGGATTATCTTCAGCAGGGATTGCCAGGTAATTTTGTCCAACGATCATCATTCAACCTTCCAACTTTCCTACTAGTGATGAGCACTCTAAGTCATGCAGTCTTACCTTAATAGGAAGGATAAAATGTTGCCATTTGGTCAGTTCTTGATAAATGGCGATGATGAGAAAGATGCACCATCGGAGATTTACTTTAGTACTTGATGATGCCCTAGTATGAAATGATTTATATGATTTAATGTGCGTTAGTTAGATGTTGCAGTACGAGAACTTGGCATTCTTGCTTCATAGACTTGTTTACACGTGTATTTAAACAACACGAGTGAAATTGGGAGTTATAGGTTAATGCATTGCCTTTTTTTGTTGTCTCTGTTTCAAGGGATGTAAATATATGGCATTGAGTTCAATCTTCTTATTCCACTTGTAGTTCTGCTGAAACTGATTCTTATACGATATTTTAAAATATGCACCTAGACAGTTAGATTGCGTTCATGTGGCATGTTTGAGTGCGAAAAATTCGAAGTTAGGTCTCAATATAGTTGATCTTGAAGTAAATGCTCTTTCAAAATAAGATGGCGAAGAGGAAAAACCCATCCCAATTAACATATATTGTAAAAGGCATAAAACTTGCTGTACTTTGCTGGCAGAATATGGAAATGAGAGTGCCACTGGACTGAATCTCTTTTCCCTTCTTCTTTTTTTTAACGGCCAAAGGCTCTTTGATGAGCACCATAGATTCAAAGGACCCTGAGGAATGTTTTACCACCTTCGTGCTTGAAAGCAAATGATAATAGTAGTTCAATGGTCAAGAGTTGTGAAGAATGTAAACTCTATTTTTTAATTTATTACGTGCATAGAAAATAGAAATATCAAAGCTTCTTTCTCATCATGGTGTTTATATATGTTTGACCATTAGCTTCTCTAAGTTAAATGTGAAAGTGGGGTCATTTAGGTTTTCTGGGTCCTGAGTCATTATTTCTTCTTGTGCTTCATTATGAAGGGTTGTCCTAATTCAACTGTATTAACCCTTTCCAGCAAGATTGCGTGTTTGAATGAATGTAATTACAATTATATAGCTATCGATTTGATTGGTGAAATAGTAAAGCATTTGTTAATAGTTTTGTTTCAAACATGTCTTTTCTATGACTAGAATTTGGCAGAATGGAATATGAATTTCTTTTCTTTCTATGTTGTGCCAACATCGTAATTCTCTCATACTATTCATGGGTGATTTTGGTTTGTTGTCCTCCTATAGGTTATGATCAGTTCGGAGTATCAAGAAAAGGGCCCCAGGACAGTTCAGATGAACATTGCACAATCTTCTATGACAAAGAAAAGGTATCTTTGTAGTTTCTTCATGCCTATAATAAAATATTATGGTACGTATTGTTTTAACATTCTTTTCATCTTAATTGAAGGTAGAGTTGATTGAAGGTGGAACCTTTTGGCTGTCCGAGTCACCTTCTGTTCCTGGCAGTACATCATGGGGTTCAGAAGTTCCATGTATCGCAACATGGGCTATATCCTTCTGTATTCAGCTTTTCGTTTTGATCTTATATCATATGAAGTTCCAGTTGCAGACATTGTTACCACTTGTATTCGGAGAAAACCATTGTGTGTGTTTGTTTGTTTCCTTGACATGATGCCCACACATTCCAGCTTAAAGGAGTTGAGCCACCAGGATTCTCATTTCAGATAGTGAATACTAACATGGACGAGTCCAGTCCTCGTGCCCGTAGACGAAGTGCTCTGCTTACATGGCAACATATTGCATCCTTGCCTCCTAGCTTACCGGTTGTGTACTGTGGAGGATTTAACACACAGAAGGAATCAACAACAGGGCGTTTTCTTCTTGGGAGATCAAGGTATTCTATTGAGTGCAAAATCATTTAGCTGTTTCATAACACTTGTGTACCACCAAACAAACAAGCTAGGGGATTACCGCACTCCGGTTATCTTCTTTTCTGTTGCAGTTTACTACGATAGGGCATCTGCACATCTTCTTTGTGATAGGGGACTGATTTCTTTGCTGTTGATCTTTTGCTATTATATATGTGCAGAGAACATGGTGTGGTGGGAGACATGAGGGATGTGTGGGCTAATGCTCGGGTGAGGAAAAATGTTTCCCTAATACGAACTTATCATGGCTTCAAAGGTATTTATCTGGCCTAAAATTTGATCTGTTAGTGAGTCGTGATATGCTTGAACTTAAATGATGATTTCGTCCGCTCAGGTGACAAGCAGGGAGCTCTAGAATTCCTTAAGTTGATATTTAGAGCGCTCTGCCTCTGCTGGGACCGCCAAACACAAGATCTACACATTGACTGGATTCTTTTCAGGGGCAGATCTCTAATACCTTCTTCATGCGAAGTGGTCAATGATAACATCGACGGTTATTACCCTTCCTCTCACTATCCTATATTTGCCGAGTTTCTTCTTCCGCGTACCGTGAGATTGATAGAACCACCTACACATACACAAGAGGACAATTAGAATGCTATTTGTTTATAAATCGATCTTATCATGTTTCCTCCCTTCTTTGAAGCTTGTCATATTGTCATTTCATTCAGGAATATATGTGTTTCAACTCTCGATCATGAATCATTTATGTGTACAAGTATTTTCAGCTGCTGTTTGACATTGCCTTCTCAATCCTCATGGCCAGAATAGGAGAAGGAAAGAAGCCATTTCGAATTTGATTCCAGATTGTGAACCTTTACTGGTTTTCTGCATTTCATTCTTTTGGTTCTTAAACTATCAGCATGAGTTTGAAGTAAAAGCTATCAGAATCATACACGTTTTCTGAAAATTGATTCATGTCATGTTCTCTGTTTTTTTTTTTTCAGAAGTAGACTGAAAAGAAGACACACACATATAAACCATATGGGCCCAATTTCCTTTTCTCTTTGCTCACTAATAAATGATTTATAGTTGAACCAATCCAAATTACATTTTTTTTTCAACTTTCACTGCAAGATAATAGTTGTGCGTCTTTTAGAAAAATTGCAAATGATAACAACGAAGAAAGAAATTATTACCCAACTGTCGAAAGAGTGTCATCGTCAAGGTCAACTGATGAAAATCAAGGCCGTAAATCGAAAACTGGGGAATTTATACCCAACGGTTGGTGACTAGGGGAGGGGGAGGGTCCTCTCTATAAACGTATTGTTTCAGAGTTTTCTCACCAGGGATTCATCTCTCGTGTTTACTAACAAACCACCCTTTTTCTTCTCTTTTGTCTCTCACTTTCTCTTCATTTTTTCCTTCACAAACAAGAAAATTCAACTTGGCAACCTTTTTCTCTTTACAATTCCTCTGGAGAGTGGGAATTCGGGCAAACGGATCTAAATCCGGTCGAAACATGGTGGGTCATAGGTTTGACGTCACTTGGATCTTTTTGTTTGCTCTTTTCTTCCTTCAATCCCATTGTTTATACCTTCCTGGCGTTGCCCCTGAAGATTTCCAAAAGGTCAGTTTCGTGATTCGTCACATGCATGCATGGCCATGCATGTATGTTAATGAATGCATTATCATGTATTTTTTTCATTTTTTTTTGTTGGGTTTCATTGAGATCCGTGTTTAACGATCTCTAGAATCGCCATTTCGGTTTAATGAATTTGGATATGAATGATTCTTTAGAAGTTAGACTGATAAGTTTCAAGCTTGTACTTTTCCTTCGTTTAAAGCTGCCTAATTTTTTACCAATACCACAAATTCTTTGGTCTATTTGGCTTAACATTTGAAGACTACGAAATTTGAATGCTGATTAAAGCATACTGAATCTTTCATGCTCAATATTCAATCTACGGGCTCTTTGCTTGAATCCAACTGATGGTTTAATATAGTTTTGTTTAATGTTCTTTTCTCTCCATTTGTTCAGGGGGATCCATTGTTGGTGAAAGTGAATAAGCTGACTTCAACTAAAACACAACTTCCTTATTCCTATTATTACCTACCCTTTTGTCAGCCTGAGCATATAGTTGACAGTGCCGAGAATCTTGGGGAAGTCCTTCGTGGTGATCGAATCGAAAACTCTCCTTATGTGGTGAGTTTGGACTCCAAATTCACTCCCTTAAGTCTCTTTGCTGTACTATTTTTATTTTTCAGTAATTGAGAGGCATTTTCTGTTTGCAGTTTAAAATGAGAGAACCACAAATATGCAATATTGTATGTCGTAAAATTCTTGATAAAAAATATGCTAAGGCGTTCAAGGAGAAGATCGACGATGAGTATCGAGTTAACATGTGAGGATCCCATTCTGGATATCTTTCATTGTAGTTTCCGATTATTCTTTTGAGTAGTAAGTAGTACTTATAATATGTTTGTGACAGGATTTTGGATAACCTTCCATTGGTTGTTCCTATAAGAAGGCCTGATCAGGAAAATGCTGTAGTGTATCAATATGGATATCATGTTGGTCTCAGAGGACAATATGATGGGGTAAGTGTTAGATTGTTCGGCATCTGTTTAGAACAATTTTTATTATTTTTTCATTTGATCATGTAAGTAATGCTGATTTGGTTTCCTTGCAGAGCAAAGAAGAAAAACATTTTATAAACAATCACTTGATATTTACAGTCAAATATCACAAGGATCCATTGTCAGACTCTGCAAGGATTGTTGGATTTGAGGTCAAACCATTCAGGTTATTTTTTTTATTCTTTGTGATAGAGGCATATTTATTACCCTTCTTTTACCACTGGTTTCATTTTCTACTTTTCTTAAAGCCATTTTGATGAACACACAATACAGTGTTAAACATGAATATGAGGGTGAGTGGAATGAGAAGACTCGTTTGACCACCTGTGATCCCCATGCAAAACGTGCAGTTACTAGTTCTGAATCTCCTCAAGAGGTTGAAGAAAAGATGGAGATCATATTTACTTATGATGTTGAGTTCCAGGTCAGCATTGTGTAATACTTTGTAAAATGAGAATACCTTGCTGCTTGTTGCAGTTTAGCTAGCCTGTATGACGCTGTTTCATTCTAATCAACAAGCTACTTCTTGTCATCTTGCAGGAAAGTGATATAAAGTGGGCATCCCGATGGGATACCTATCTTCTAATGGATGATGATCAGATCCATTGGTTCTCCATTGTTAATTCTTTGATGATTGTGATTTTCCTCTCGGGGATGGTGGCTATGATCATGCTACGAACTCTTTATCGGGATATCTCAAAGTACAACAAACTCGAAAACCAAGAAGAAGCACAAGAGGAGACAGGGTGGAAACTGGTCCACGGGGATGTTTTTAGGCCTCCAACAAATTCTGACTTACTCTGTGTGTATGTTGGAACAGGTGTTCAATTTTTTGGTATGATTATTGTTACCATGATCTTTGCTCTCCTCGGCTTCCTCTCTCCTTCAAATAGAGGTGGGATAATAACAGTCATGCTTCTACTCTGGGTCTTCATGGGCCTGTTTGCCGGATATTCATCGGCTCGTCTCTATAAGCTATTCAAGGGAACAGAATGGAAGAAAGTTACACTCAAAACAGCATTTATGTTCCCGGCAACTGTGTTTGCCATTTTCTTTGTCTTGAATGCTCTGATATGGGGCCAGAAATCTTCCGGGGCAGTGCCATTTGGAACCATGTTTGCATTGGTATTGTTGTGGTTTGGCATCTCGGTTCCGCTTGTTTATGTGGGTAGTTATTTTGGTTTTAAGAAGCCGGCGATCGAGGATCCGGCAAAAACTAATAAGATCCCAAGGCAAATTCCAGATCAGGCTTGGTACATGAACCCGACCTTCTCCATCCTTATTGGAGGCATACTTCCATTCGGAGCTGTTTTTATTGAGCTCTTTTTCATCCTCACTTCAATATGGTTGCATCAGTTCTATTACATATTTGGCTTCCTCTTCATCGTCTTTGTCATTCTTATCATCACTTGTGCCGAGATCACAGTAGTACTCTGCTACTTCCAGCTATGCAGTGAGGATTACCTATGGTGGTGGAGGTCGTACTTGACTTCGGGTTCTTCGGCACTTTACTTATTCCTCTATGCTGCATTCTACTTCTTTACGAAGCTCGAGATCACAAAGCCGGTATCTGGGGTTTTATACTTTGGGTATATGTTGATAGTATCTTACGCATTCTTTGTGCTCACTGGTACAATTGGTTTCTATGCTTGCTTCTGGTTCACAAGGCTCATCTACACATCAGTGAAGATCGATTGATCTGATATTGCAACTTGAGGAAAGTCTAGTTTGTTTCATTACAAGGATGTCCAAATTACCCGATACAGAATCAGAAATGCAGGACATCCATGACTTACGATTTGGGTTCAGTTTTGAATCTTCGATCATGGAAATTGTTGATTTTCTTAGCCTTCTCCATCAGTTCCTTGGTGATTACTAGTGACGTTATTTGTTAATTGATTCCACTACTTTACTGTATTGTATGAGACCTTTGAGAAAATATAAAGCAATTTCTTTTAGAAATTGAAGTATCCATGTATTCACAAACATAATAGTGCTTTGTTTATCCCTGCCATTCTGTCGGGAAAAACTGAATTTCAGTCCTTGAAAATAAAATAAATTATCGATGCATATATTGAAACTGTGTATGCTATTTCTCCCGATGAATTCAAGATTCAGACACAACCACTTCTGCTGCTGTTTGTTTCCTAACAGAGCTATACAAGCATAATTTACATAATTGATTAATTTTGGCATGACATACTATCTGCAATTTAATGGACAGTTAACAAATGCCTTTTGTGATGCAACACATATTCTTTTTTCTTGAACTTCTTTCAGAAAATAAATAAGCATGCAAGTTCACCACAATATTATATTTAGTATACATGTAGATACAAGGACATCCAACAGAATACTAGACTACCGACTGGTAAGAAAACAGTGTTAATAAAATGAGAAAGCCAAGTAAAATTTTGCTCAGAACATATTATAGACAAGCAGAGAGAATGTATAATCACAAATAATTGAACTGCCACAATAAGGAGAAGTTCCAACAGTAGCATGGTGATCAAATAATCAAATATCAAGTAAAGTATAAAAAAAGACATGAAGGTGACATGCAGTTTATTTATTTATTTAGTCAAGCAAGTTAATGCCAAAATTTTGGGGAAGATAGGAAGGTAAAATTTCAAAATAGATCCATGAGAAAAAGTGCGAAAATGTGGTTTTTAGTTCTTAGTTTTAGTACATTAAGCATTGGCAAGCCTGCGACCACGATGTAGGAAATAGATGTTTCATGTAACATCTAGTTCCCTCTTAGTTGATAATAGATATACATAAAACAGAAGATATAACCTAGAGTGCCCCTATGATACATTGCCAAAGAAGACATGGAAACTTTCCAGGTAGTCTCTACTGAGTTCTTTTTCATAAAAATATTTTTAGAAAGATTATTCAATGGAAAACTACAAATAAACTTTGTCACCTGCAATCATGATAAATAAATAATTAATGATGTTTCGTATAAATGCAATAATCTGTAATAGTATAAACCAACATAGCCTCCAAAATATCATCTAACTGAATCCACTGATATTTTCTTTTATTATTTTATATGGGATAGGATCCTATTAAACAATGTGAAACTTTTTAGTTTTAAACATATTTAGGATCGTTAAATGAGTGAAAATAGACGGTTGAAATTAACAGTAGGAAATGAGAATATATTCGCCGGGGGAAAAACGAGTTAATCCCAACAATCTATTTTCACTCGTACAACGGTCCTAAATCTATGT